TAAAATATCAACAAGATAGACAAAGATAGAGATAAAAATAAGGGGTGTAAGGAGAGTAATGCAGTGAAAAAGAGATAAGGGAAAGAGAAAAGCACACAGTGATTTGTACTAGTTCGGGTATAGTCAATCCTACATTTAGTTCTCAATCAACTCTTAACACAAAAGTGACCTCAATTCACTATCTTTTAAATTCAGTTCACAAATTACAATCAACTCAGCAAAAACAAACTAATTCAAAAGACAATCATCTCCTTAGAAACCACTAAGGATGAACACCTCCCTAGAATCTCACTAGGGATGAACACCTCCTCTGAAAAAAACAAAGGATGAACACACATCTTTAGAATCCCACTAAGGATGAATACCTCCCTAGAATCTCACTAAGGATGAACACCTCCTCTGAACAAATTAAATGATGAAAACACCTCCCTGAACAAATCAAAGGGATGAACAATTTCCACACAAAAAATAAAAAAAAAAAACACAACAAAATGACAATGACTACTTAAATCTTAAACAGGAAATTTAACAATCAATCACTTAAGCCCACAAAGGATGAAGGTAATAAAATAAGAACAGTCACACCTGGATAATGGAGACAACAAATTGTAGAAGCCTATAGAATGCCAACCTCCAAGAACAAGTGTGATTAACAATGAAAACATAGTAGATAATGGAGAAGAAGGTTTTGGTAAAATATCTTTGTGGCAATGGAGAAGAGAGTTTTCTCAAAACATATAAAATATATTTGTTGTCTTGCTCAGAATTCTTTTCTCAAAACTGATTGAAGGTAAATTGTATTTTCGAATTCTTTAATTGTGTCTTTTTGACTTTTCATCAAAACTCATTTAAATAGGAAAATAACATCAGAAAATAGTCGTTGGTCATTAATACTTTCGTAGAAAAAAAATCAAATGTATTCAAAAACTTTTATTCTTTAAAACGAATATATTTTTTCAAATTTGAACTGTCATAATCAATTATGTTACCATTATAATAAATTATGACATAGAGAAAATCGTTTTTCCATGTCTGATGCATCATAATTAATTATGATAGTGAAAAATGTCATGTTACGAAATTTTATAACACTTGTACTTTGGAGACTTATGCATAATATTATTTCAACTTGTATCTTCAGGAATAATCTTGGGCTTGCTTGAATTTTGAATAGAATCTTAATCAAATCATATCTTAGGTTTCCTTTAATATTAAATATTGTTGTTAACTTGAATCATTATCAAAACCATTTTTTGAGAATATATGAACATATTTCACATTTTTATTAATCTCCTTTTCATTGCTTTCGGATAAAACATTGCATGCTAATAACATTGGCAACGGTAAAGATAAGAATATTGAAGAATGGTTCCCGAAAATAAGAATATTAAAGAACGAGGGATCACTCAAAATAAAAAGCAATTATAATATAAATGTGATAATAAAATTTTACCTAGATTCAATTAGCGTTAAGTTTAGAACGTTGGTTTCAACATCACCATAAGCTACTATATCCAGGAAAAAAGCATACAAAGAATGAATTAGAAACAATTTATACCTATTGCTTAATTTTTTTTTTTTTATAAACATGATCAATATGTGTTATTAGAATAAGTGTTTGTTAAATTATAAAATATAAGATTTTGAATTTTCGTGCCACTTCCCTTGTTAACTACTTACAACTATATTTTCTTTATAAGAATGATCTATGAATAAAATATTATTTAATTATTAATTATTTCAAACTAAAAAATGACTTATATAAACATTTTTTTCTATTTTTAAACAATATAATTATATACAGTAGTTACTTTTAATAATATATTTATCTTCAATTATTAATAATTCTATAATATTTTAAAAAATATTTTTTTCACCTGATAACTTTAAATTATTAAAAACTGTAGTGTCTAAATAACTAAGTCTGTCGCTCTAATGTAAATGAGAGGTACTAAATCTTTGTCATTAAAAATTGTAAATAAAGTAATATTTGTTTATTATTATAACCATTATCTTGATAAACAATTTTATGTTTATACTGTGCGATTAAAATTTTGTTTTGATAAAATCGGTATTTTTATCATCAAACACATTAACACTACATATGAATTATTGTTTTTCATTAAGAGTTTATTAATAAATATTTTTAGATAATATATTTGTAATTTTTTTAATCATATTCTTAAGAATATATATATATATATATATATATATATATATATATATTAATTGTCTTTTCGACATGTAATTTTATTATCATGTTTACATATTTATTATGATATAAGGAAGCTTCCTTCTATATAATATGTTTTTAAATGTGTATATTTTCTTACAGGCAGAGTTTTGTTTTTTATTCTTTTTTATCAAATTTTCAAATTTTTTTCTACAAAATTTGCTATAATATTGACAAAATTACGATTTTTTTTGTTTATTTTTATTTGAAATCACTTATTTATTTTATATTCTTATACAATTTTTATATTAAATAATATTTTAATGTTCCTTGCAATTAAAAAAAATTATATAGTTTATTTTCTATTTTTTATTCATTAACAAATGGGGAAGGTATTAAAAATAAAAGGAGTGTTATAATAAATTTTAAAAATAGAATAAAACTAATTCAGAAAAATATAACATTTAAACGATATTATTAAATATTCTAAATTATAATAAGACTAATATAATTAAACTTATTATATTTAATTTATTTATTATAAAATTAACTATTTTAGTTCTTTAAAATAATATATTATTAATAATAAATAAATATAAAATAAATATAAAAAATATAAATATAAATTTATAAATATATATTTAATAATCATTAAATTTTAAGAAAATCATGACACTTATCTCCCAATATGTTTGTCTGTATTTTCAAATTATTATATTTCACCGTGTAAATACAATTAAAAAAACAATGCCAACAAAAAATCAGCATTTTTATTTTCTAATATTCTTTTAAAAATATAAAAAATTATTATTAGACGTAAACATTTTAGAAATGGTTCTACTGAACAACATCACTCAACATCAACAATTTTAGGAGATAATTTTGAGAGAGTTGGTTGAGTGAAACGAACAACATCTAAAGTAAACGTAAGGGCTTGTTTGATTGGATAAGTATGTGTGAGATGTAACCAAAATATAATTTTGGACTCCAACTGGTATTAGAAGCCTTGAACTTTTTTTTTTTTCTTGAATTTGGGCCTAACGACCCAGTATTCATTTAATTGAAAAAAAAAGTTTCTGAATATTAAATTTGAGGAATTAAAATAAAGGTTTTAAAATTTAGATTTGAAGGTTTAAGATTGAAATTTGTTTTTAGATTTTATTTGAATGTTTAGGAACTAATTTAAAAGAATAATTTTGTTTATAAATTTAGAAAGGTAAAAGCAGAATTAGATAAAATTTAAGGAATTAAAAAAAATGAACAGATTTGGCAAAGGAGTTTGATGAAGTTGAATTAAGTTGGAGGAGTTGATAGGTGATGAAACCTCCACGACTCATTGTTTGATTAAAGTCTATGATTTCATTGGTTGCATGATCATTTTCATTTAGGTCTTCAATTCCTCGTGAAAAGCTAAAATAATGGAAACTTGCAGGAACATCCATCTTCCTCAAAATTTGGTTTCTTCATGCTTCTTACCCAATACAAGTAATAATTCTCATGTACGTATCTTTGTATGTGTTTCATACACTCACACTTCCCAAGGTCAAATACATTCGTAAGACGTAATTAGCAATACATTAATTACTTTGCTTAGCCTTTCTATTCTATTCTACCTTCATTAATCAATTCAAACCACTAATTGTTATATGACACCATGGCAAAATATTACTTTTCAACATTTTTTTTGTTTCTTTTCTGCTACCTATTTCTTCCTCCCTTATAATTTTAAATTAGAAGCCTGGGAAATAATACATGTCTATAATAAATTAATAGCTACATTGCACTGTAAAAAAATGACAATAACTTTTATGATCTTATTTATGGTCAAAAGTGTACTTTTCATTTATGGTGTTTTGATTTTGATATTTATATTAGTTTGTCAAATATAAATTGCCTATAAAAGATTGGTGGGCTATACCTTGTTAATAAATGTTTCATGTACGAGTTTAAGTTGAAAGAAATAGAAATAAATTCTCCTTATCTTTTCTCCCCGTTTCCGTGTGTGATAAGAATGTAGTTCTGATAATTAAATTACTTCAGTTTTTGAAAAAAAAAAATAAAATAGTTGAGTTAAGAAATAATGCATTTAACAAAACTAAAATTATTTTCAAGAAAAATGACTCTTCCACCTTTTAAACTTTTTCAGTTCAAGAGAATGAAGAAGAATATATGATATATGTTTCCACTATAATTCTTTAATGTTTTTTATTAAATAATTTTAAATAATTTTAAGTACGATATTCTTTAGAACATGATTTCTAATATATTAAATAATTTTAAATTTTTTTAAGTACGTGATTTCTAATAATACATGTGTTATGATATTTTCACAACCTATTTTTTCTAAACATCCATTTAACAACTTATTTTTAGATTTTTATATTATTATTTATTTATTTATTTTTATTTTATTTTCTCTCCCACAATCAACCAAAAATATAATATTTTAGGTTATCTATAAGATATTTAAAAGAATTGGTGTCAAAAAATCTTTTCCCACTGTAAAATATAAGGTGAAGCATGTTTTATAACAAGACAAACGGCCCATAGAATGATGGTTTTCTAACGAAAGCAGTGTTGGGCCTTTATTGACGAAACATTTTGAAACGGCATATCACCAACAGAGATTTAAAATTAGTTACTATTTACACCCCTTATTCTTATTCTATTTTTCCTGAGTATCCTCGATTCTTCTCATCGTGTCTAATTCTTTCTTTTCACTAAAATAGAAGAGGGGATTCGTTGCTTCCATTGAGAGAAATCAGTGTATATCTTTTGTGATGAAGGGAGGAGGAGGATATAGGGGATAGAAAGAATTGACGACAATTTAAGGAAAAAGAGAATTGGTGTGCATAAGGAAGAGGGAAGTGTAAATAGCAATTCCCAAAGTTAGATCAGTGAGACAATTATTGGTCCACTGCGAATCTGTGAAAGAGAATATAGTAGGTTGGGTCACAGAGATGGGCTTTTATACCTATAACTGGATCATGCATTACTAGAACTTATCTTAAACCAAACATTAATTTAACAGGCAACAAAATCTGTGTAGATAACCAGAGGACATAACGACATCAAATTGCCAGGTTGTTCCAGAGCCATGGACACTGACACGCCATCATTATACAAGATTTGAAGCATTAGATCGCTTCTGTCCCAGTGTGGTTATGGGCACGTCTTATCCTCATTTTATTTAAATACATTTTAATAATTGTATTGTACCTTATTTACACTCAACTCAACCATCCACTCAAATGGTAGTTTCAATAGTTTATACACACATGACTTTTGGATCAAACTTACTTGTACTTGAAAAGATAAACTTGGTTTTTCATGATTGAGTTTCGTTTCACACAAACTCGTTAATTATGCCATCAGACGTGTTAACTCTTTTTATGTATGTTTTGATTTGAATCTGATGTAAGTGATATAAAACTTATTAAGAGCAATGATTCAGAAAAGTGATGGATGATTCTTATAAATAATAATGAAAGTAAAAAAGAAAAAGGAAATTTAGAATCAAGTATGTTGGAGGATGTGGTTGTTGTAACTTTTGAAAATTGAATTGATATGGTGGAAGCTTTAGGACAAGGAAGTTCGTTCCCAGCTGCTGCTGCTGCTGCCCCCTGCCTCAAATCAGACATTAATGTCAAAATTGAACAAGATATGGTGGATATTTCCTCTTTTAATAATGCATGTACTTTATATCCTTGCACCTTTTTATGATGATAAAATATAGGTAGCTGTTTAATTTCATTTGATCTTGGATATGCTCCAATGATGTCAAATAGAAGCAACCTAGAGAGGATGGTGTACTTTACGAAGGTGCCCCCATGTCACTCACATCACATGCTATCCTATTGGTTGTTGGTTGCATGATTTTCTACTCAGAAGATAATTAAAAGGGTGATTAAAATATTATAGCCTCATGCATATGCAAATGATAGGCATCAGATACCTACCAAACACATATCTCATGGTTTACTTTATATACATAGTCCTTCGTGGATCATGAATCGTGAAAGGAGGAGCAGTTTAATTAAGAGGAGAAAAGAATGGTGGCAATCTTGCTAATTGCAAACGTGATGGTGCTCAAGTGAGTCACTTGGAAATGGGGTCCACGCATTCATCAAATAAAGAGGAAAAAGGCAAATGAAAAAGTTGATTAAAATGTTATTCTAAGCAGAGTGAGCAGGGAACAGGTAAGCATGGTGCTCTAAAAGCCTGCATATCTACGAAAAGATGAGCAATTCAAAAAGGCATGTTTTGCTTCGTCGGCTTCTTATCCTCCATGCCTCTCTCAACTCCTATCTCACATAATATTTATTTATTATGTCAATTTTAATACAATTATTCCATCACCTCTATTCTATGTTATAATATATATGAACTACAGTAGAGAAGGAGGAGAGAGGAATATTTGAGAAGCCTGCGTTGCAAACTTTTTATCTTGTAAAATAAAATAATAATAAGCAAAGCTTAAGATGTCAGCGTCTGCTTTTAAAAGGTAACAGAAAAAGTTGATTCATACGGTATTCCTTCCAAGACAATCCTTTGCCTTTTTAGGGTTTAGGTAAAGAATGAAAAGATAGAGGGAGGAGTGTGAGAGAGGTGTTATCATGGTTAATTGGATATATATGGGTTGGGTAGGTTGGTGCGTTTCAGTTTTTTAAGAACGGACTTTCATCTTCTGCTTTATAAAACATCACAAAAGCTTTGCATAATTGAAGCAGGTTAAAACCATAAGACCGCTCCATCTTTTTCTCCCTTCTTTTGTCTTCTCTTCATACTTTCCATTCATTTTTTTGTCCATATATAAGGACTTTCTTCTCAGTTCCTACTTTTCAAAACTAATTACACACTAATCTTTCTTCAATTTACCACTCCTTACATATCTAATATATATGCAGCAGTAAAAAAGTGGTATGTGTATTTTTAATTCTTACAACTCGATTATTTTCTTTTATAAGTTACATAGTAATTTAGTATCATGTTAAATCAGAGTTAAATATAGATTTAGGCACATGTATCTCTAATAAGTCAAAGTTATATTAAATAATTTAGACTTTTTTTTATGTCCAAAATGTGAATATAGCACTCCTTCAAACATGCACTTGGTATATGTGTAGAGAGTGAAGATACTTTTCGTGTCCATCCAATACTTGCTTGACTAATTACTTTTGATGCTTTGTCTATCTAACTATCTACTACACTATTAACATTTTTCTTAGCCACTGGCGACTTTAATTGGTGAGTTACGTGGAGAGTTCGATTTGTCCCCACCTTTTTCACACTTCTATTAAATTTCAACACAGTTACTTAATTACAGGGTAAAAATGAGTTAAATCAGGTTAAATCTTGTCTTTCATGATTCGTATTTTCTATTTTCTAAATATAACATTTTAACTTTATATATGAACTCAGCTTTTATATACGTGTAAAGATTTTTATATTATAATTTAATCAAAAAGTATTTTGTACAATTTTTAAACTAATTATAAAAATATAGCAATCTTGCTATATAATCAGTAATTTCTATTTGTTAATGATAATAAAATGTTTATATTATAGTACATTAAGATTAATTGGTTACATATTTGCTTGATATAAGTATTTATTTTTAAAACTAAATAAAATTGAACATATATATGCACCATAACTCATGCACTTTATTTATTTGAGTTGATTTACAAAAACAATGGTAGTGAAATTAAGATATAAGTTGCAGTGCGTTGTAAAATAGGGTGTAGGTGAGAAAATTGTTGGTAAATGAGAGTAAAGCGTAGGTGCTTTAAAGGGAAAAATAAAGTGATTGACTTGTGGAATGAATGATCCGAACACAGCATTTCAACGTAACTTTTGACAAAACTCATTTATGCTGGGACCTGCAACGCAACACAAAGCGTGCGTGAGAGAGCACACACTTGCATGTTTCATAAGCTAAGAAAAGATGCTACAAACGCTCATAAATATCTGGTGAGAAAGTTTCACGTTGACAATAATAGCATTTCACAGCTAATCGCTTTGTCATTTCTTTGGTAGTTGTAAATGACTATACTGGCCTGGCGAAGAAGGGACAAAATAGGTAAAGCAAAAAAGGGTTTTGTGTGTTACCCTAAACATGGATATATATACGAATGGTCTTGTGTTGTCCTACTACTAAGCCTTTTGGTGTTTGAAGGACCATTCATTGATTGATTGGGAGCACGGAAAATTCACAGTAAAGTTAAACACCGACCTTTTGGGCCAACTAACTTTTTAAAAAGTTTAAGTAACTAAAGAGAGATAGATGGGGGGCGCAGGGGAAGGATTCGGATTCCCAAAACCTCAACAAGAAGAAGAAGAAGAAAGACAAAAGATAAAAGATAAAAGGTGGGTGCGGAGTCCAATCAATCGACAATCCCCGCCAAGGGCCAAAAGGTTTCATCCTGTGAGCGGCTGAATTCTAACCAGAGGAACAAAATATTTATAAACATTTAACTTACCACTTTTAATTTAAACTTTATATCAATTCAATAATCACGCTATTTTATGTAGATTAAAGATTAATTCATAACCTACTTTCAAAAATATAATCAAAGTTTTAATTCTAAATTCATTTATTACATATTAATATATCATGATTGTGTATAGATTTTATACACGCTTATAATTGAACAATTATTATATGTGATTATTCGGATGAAATATTGTCTGACTTACAGAGAGAAAATATATTGTGAGTTATCGAAATAGATAGCACCACGAAAATTGAAATAAATATGTGGGACTTTTCTTAACACTTCCTAAAATTTGTTTAATTTTGTTTTTCTTTCTCATGGTTATTTTTTTTAAATGATGTTTAATTTTTATTATAATAATCATAATAATAATAATTGTGTTTTCTCGTAATTCCTTTAATTGTAAAGTATTTAGCATTAACCTTTATCTGTTAATTATGTTTATAGTTTTAATATTATTTAACTATTGAAATTGAAAGATTTTAAGTTGCAAAATCTTGAAATAGAGATTAAAGAAATTCACAATATATCAATTTTTTTATGATTGAAAAATATTATTGTTTAATAATTACTTAGAAAGTCACATCAAACTATTTTTACCAATTTATAAAACAAACATAACATCCTTATACTAACAAATTATCAAAATAAAAATATTCTTTGTTTATATGGAGAAAATTCTTTATCAAAATATTTATTTTTAAATAAAAAAATTGTCTTATTTAAATAAAATACTTAAAATGAAATAATTTGAATTAAGAGTGATTTAAATTTCATATATTTAATTTCTTGAAAATTACGAAATTGCCTACCCAAACATGTGAATATAAATAAGATGAATTGTCGACCCCCAAATTGGTATTTCCTCTCATCCTTCCGGTGCACTCACCTCTTTCATTCTAGGTTTTAATTTTGACTTTTATCATTCACATGCAAGAAAAACAAGAAGAATTGAATGCATAAAACTTCACATAAATTGAAATAAATAAAACTGATTCCGCACCAATCAAGCAATTGGGTGGCTCTATATTCTTACCTCTGACCAAATCATTACGTGTAATTCAGCCACATTGCTGTAATTTGCTTGCTTTCAAATCAAGGATAAAAAGTCAATTAAGAGCGATGATCTACCAGTCAACTGAATGAGGGGAAAGAACAAGATGAATTTAAGATTTAGTTGAAATATGGTGCACGATTATATACACTGTATATACACACATTTAATATAATTATAAAATTTTGTATATGCATTAATTAGTAATATATTTTTTAATAAGGTATTCATTAAGAAGAAGTGAGTTTAAATGAAAGTTAATAATATATTTTTATGAGATTGAAAATGATAAAGATTTATTTGATTAAAGTAATTTGAATTCAATTTGATTTAAAATTTAAAAAAATAGGACGTAGACATATAATTTCAATATTCTCATGAATTTTATGAGTAGATTTAATTTCGTTAACAAAATTTAAAGTGATATTAAGAACTTTAGTTATAATCTATACTTTTAAACTTGTCCAAGAAACTTAATTTATATGAAAATGTTTATTTTTAAATTATTAATTTATTTTGTATGTTATAAGTTGATTTAAATTAAGACGATGATAACATATTTTATATTGAAATAAATGATCATGATATATATGTTAGACTTAAAAAATAGATATATTTATTTTTGTTAATTTGTATTTTATGATTATATATATATATATATATATATATATATATTTATGTAAAAGAAATGATATTTTAAATTATTTAATTAATTTGAATTTTATATCTATAATACGAATATTTTGGGACTTTTTAAGTTATATAAGAGAATGAAGATTAGTGAGTTGTCCTATAACATATTTATATTTTTGGCAAAGCAACAAAAATGATTAACAATAAGGATACACGCCGTGTTCTAACATCCAAGCTTACAAAATGTTCCCTTAAAAACCAGATTATTTATTAGTTTTAAAAAGGAACAAGTAGTCTTCTTGGTTGTTGCTTTCGAAGAAGGAACAGATTCGTGAATGAGTTGATGTAAGAATCATGGTGGAACCCGCAGAGTAAAAAGAGGAGTACCTTGGATTCCGATAATCTTATATGTGCCCTTTCATGGTGAAAAGTGAAGACGATATATAATGAATCTTTCTGAACTTCTAAGGATAGTTTGCTCCTTTTTGAGGAGGCGTGCGCGATGAACGGATTCAGACAGATATAAAGTTGGGCTTCACAAAAAGCATCCTAACACATTGACATTGCATTACCTACTTTTTCTTTCTTCTTCCACTCTCTTCTTCCAACATCTCTGCACATCAAACCACCTTTTACATGTTCACAATCGCTTACTCTGCTCTAGATTCTGATGTATCACACTTATCAAACATGGCTTCTGTTTCTTTGCTTTATGTAACATCCCACTTTTTCAGAAAATAAAATAAACTACAATTACATTATTTTTTTGTAATTTTCTAAAATTATTTTGAAATCCTAAATTTTAAAGGTTTTCTCAAATTATTTGTTCCTTATGTTATATACATAATTTACTTACTCAAAAATAAGAATTAAAAATTTATTTACATATACATTCATGTCATTCTTTTATTATCGATTAATTTTAAGTTAAAATCTGTGAGTTGATCTTCCTTTTTTATTAAACTTGTTCAATTTTTAACCCTATGACTCTTGAACTCATGATATGCATCTTTGAGTGTTGTAATAAGGACATGGGTTATGAATACCACAAGTGAATGCTGTTAACATGGCATCTAGAGTTCGATTTGATTATTGCTTTATTCGGTAATTTGTGCTGTGTGATGTATTTTGAAGGTTTGTGAATGTTCAAATTGGACATAATTGAATTATTATATGAATTATGTTCGTAATATTTAAATTGATTTAACATTTGATAATTGTTTAAGAGTTCATTCTTATATATTGTATTCGTCATTCGGATTTTAAGATTTAAATTTATATGAATTGTGTTCTGTAAAATGTAATAAAATAATGACAATTTAGAATTTTTTTAATTGATGAATTAAATTTAAAGATTTTTGTAGTGGTATATAATAAGATTTAACATTTAAAGCATTCTAGGTATACAATAAGATTTTAACACTAATTAATAAATAGATATGCAAATTAATGTATTAATGTAAATTGTTGTCTTAAAAGTATTTAGAAGAATCACTACTGCAAAAAAAGCTTTTTACATCGGTTAAAATGGGCTTTCGACGTCGGTTAAAGCGGCGACATAGATACGGGGGTCATAGAAAGTAAGACTTTCTACGTCGGTTAATAGGAACCGACGTAGAAAGACCTACTTTCTTTGAGCTATTATGATCGGTCAAAATGGTTATGATCGGTCATAGAGCTATTCTGATCGATCATAACTGGTTCTGATCGGTCATAGAAGGACTTTCTACGTCGGTTAGTCGAGGAACCGACGTAGAAAGTCTTATTTTGTATGAGCTATTCCGATCGATCATAATCGGTTACGACCTGTCATAATACTTTCTATGTCGGTTAACAATTATAACCGACATAAAAAGTCTTACTTTCTAACTTTCTATAACCCAGTATCTATATCGGTTAATAGTAACCGTTATTGTATGTGTTATCAATGTCGGTTATGTCTATAATCGACATAAAATGTTACACTTTCTACGTCGGTTATGCCATTAACCGACGTAGAAAGTACTTTCTACGTCGGGTAATGACATAACCGACGTAGAAAGTGTTATTTTTTTTTAAAATACCTGCATTTTATTTACATATGCTACCTTTCTTCGAGTAGACCTGCCTATTCATCACAGTTCCAGACAAATAACCACAGATCCAAGATACAGACAGATATGCACAGTTCATATATAAATTTGCTACAGATATATATCCAGTACAGACAGATTCAGTTGCAGACAGATATGTACATATGAAACACATTGAAATGAATATATGTACAGACAGATCCAGTTCTACCCAGTTGAATAAATTTCCTATGAATATATGTAAATTTCCTAACTTAAATCAATTCTATCTAAATTGTTACAAGTTAAATTTCCTATGAAGATTGAATGCTTAAAAGGAAAGAAGCCCACTGCTATCTGATATCGTCTAAGACTTCAATCTTCATTGGAGATGAGTCTTTAAATTCCTACATATTGAAACATTTCAGATTTAGAAACCATTTACATAATTGGCATATTTGACTTAATTATAGTATATTTACCTCCCTCCATGAGCCCATAATATTTTTGTCTACGATGGTGTGCATGTGCTTCATCACATAATACCCGCACTCATGGCTTCCCGGTTGCCGTGGACACTACAAGTTAAATACATGTCAGTTTAACTTTAAATGACAAATTGAACAATAGTAAGAGGTGTTTGGTCACCTTTGGTGCAATATACGTCAACTTCTTTCTAGCATGAGATGGAAGACCTTGCAACCTTAGGTGAGCTTCCAAAGCTCTACAAAAGGACAAATAATTTTGGTGTAAGTAGTGCACATATGATACAACAATTAAAAAAACCAAACTTACGCGTCTATGTGCTTTCTAATATCCAAATCATTTGCTTTCTTGTGTAATGAACACAAGAGAATCACAAGAAATTGCCGAGGAACAATGATTATGAGCTGCCAATGACCCTCGCACGTTGAAATAATATTAGTAAAATTTCAGTTTTACATAAATGTGCATTAATTTATAAGATGTATACTTATCGATGCAAGTAAGGTGCTAAGTAGACTTCTTTGCCCCAGTTTGAAATGCCTCTATTAAGTACGTTTGCACCTCTTCGACTTTATTCCCAATGGAATGAATGGCAACATGGTCAACAAATCCATAGAGAAAGCGGATCTTCCTCTCAACACACAAACGATGTAAATACCTTCAACATTGAAAATAAATAAAGTTATAAAATAATGTACCAGGTGAGAATATAAAAATATATGTAAATATACTTACAATTCCCAAAGCTGCAACACCGATACACATAACATATCGAGTACCGACGAGAAGATCAAAAATATCCCTTTGGAGTAAGAAAAAAGGGATCGTCTTGGTCCTGCATACGACTTCGGGTGGCATATCTAAGCTGTATGGGAGTGGTCCCGATAGTCACTTGCCAGCTGCACCGAGTCGTTGTAAGCGAGATGGTGGTGGTGGTGATTCATGCACAACTTCCTTTGCTTTTTCAGCCTCTTCCTATACAAGTACCAAAAATCAATAACATTAATATACATCAACCTATCAAAAAATAATAAGTACTATCGTTCAATGCATAAATCAACCTGTGCATGTGTTGGGATGGGTCTTGTTAATGAAACTGGCCATAAGATAAAATGGCCAGGTGCCTGTCCCACTGTTTGAACCTCTTCAGTGTGTGACATGCTGGAGGCAAGTATGTTCGGTTACCATGAGGTTGAGGAGCTAATTGTTCTCTTATACCCATTTCAACCATGTCCAAACGAGCATTGACACCATCTTTTGTTTTTCCTTGAATGTTAAGGAGCGTTCCGATGATACTATCACACACATTTTTCTCTACATGCATGACATCTATACAATGCCTCACATCAAGAACCCTCCAATATGGAAGAACAAAAAGGATTGACATTTTCTTCCATATACCTGTGGCTTTCTTTTGCGTCTTTCCAAACTCACACGAAATTGCACTTACTCGTTGATATACTTCTTCCCCACTTAAAGGTGTTGGGGCTGCATCATTTTCTTGACACCCGTTAAATGATTTTTTTAATTTACGATATGAATGGTTTGAAGGAAGAAATCTTCGGTGTCCAAGGTACACTGTTTTCCTTCCATGTTGTAGTTGATAGTGACATGTGTCTTCTTCACATATCGGGCAAGCTTTATGTCCCTTTGTGCTTGTAGCCACTCAAATTACCATATCGTTGGAAAGTCATTAATTGTACAAAATAACATTGCACGCAACTTGAATAAGTCACCTGTGTACCCATCAAACACATCAACACCTTCCTCCCACAACATCTTCAACTCTTCAACCAATGGGCTTAAAAAACATCAATGTCATTTCCAGGTTGTCCGGGACCGAGATCATCAAAGATAGCATCAAGTACTTACGTTTCATACACAACCACGGAGGTAAGTTGTAAATAACTAACACCACAGGCCATGAACTATGTTTCTTGCTTAAATTTCCATATGGATTCATTCCATCTGTAGCAAGTCCAAACCTAATGTTTCTTGGATCATTACCAAAATTCCGGAAGATGGAATCAATTTTTTTCCATTGCAATCCGTCTACTGGGATGCCTCAACTGACCATCTTTAATACGACTATCTCGCATGCCATCTAGTCAGCTTTGCATCATTTCCATTAGTGAATAATCGTTTCAACCTTGGAACAATGGGAAGATACCATAACACTTTTGTCGGGGTACCACTTCATTACATCATTGTCAGAATCACCATCCTTCTTCTTGTATCGTGATTCCCGCATTGTGGACATTCGTGACGGTTCTCAAATTCTTTCCTGTATAACACACAATCATTCGGACATGCATGAATTTTTTGGTACTCCATACCCATTGGACACAATATCTTCTTAGCATCATAATTGCGGGTTGGCAATGTGTTACCTTCGGGGAGCATGTCACTCAACAACTCAAGCAATTACGTGAAACTTTTATCGATCCACCCATTCTTTGCCTTCACATTGAACAATTTTAGTACCGCAGACAATCGTGTGAACTTAGTACAATTTGTATACAAAGGCTCTTTTGCATCATTGGACAACTTCTCGTACACATGTGTGTGTTGGAAGGCATCTTGTCCAAGCTCACGAATCATTTCCTCCAGCTGATCATCCATCTCTAGATCAACTTCTTATTTGTCTTCTACACTTGGCATGTTTAATAATTCACCATGCCATGTCCACTTTATGTAACTCTTTAGGAAACCATCACAAAGAACATGTTCCAGAATAACTTCGATCGATAATCTTCGCTCATTCAAGCGAGTTAACACAAGGGCAATAGAATCTTCCATCAT